AGTAATTTTGTAGCAATTTGAAAGCTTTAAATTTGAAATCAATAAAAATTTAAATCAATGTGATAAAATTTCAAAACTACAGCTAACCCAACCCTCCAACTCTTTTTTTAGCAGTTAATTTTAATTATTGTAGCGAGAGATTGTCGATTATGTGTATATTGAGTGTAAGTTAGTTAAATAGTTAGGTAGAAAAATTGTTATATACAAAGATCTCAAATTAAAAAGCACACCAATAGCTCATATATTTATGTTTCATTTTGAGCAGAATCAATAAAAATTTATCCATGAAAACTACCAATAGCTCATATATTTATGTTTCATTTTGAGCATTTTAACAATTTTGGGGCAAAAAAATTTATCCATGAAAAAATAGTATATATTTGGATGAAACTAGTGCTTCTTTCTAAAATTTTAATATATATATATATTTTTCATAAAAACTACCTTTTGGGTAAGAAAAATTAAATTAGTATAGTCCTATAATGACAAAATAAAAATTTAAAACTTCTCGAGATGATTACTTAAGAGAATATTTATTTTATAGGTAATTATTGTTATAAATGCTTAGTAGTTGAGTTGGATTATCTTGGATTTAAAATATATTTCATTAAAATTAGAGAAATTAAAATGAGAAAGGAGAACATAATTTGTATGTGAATAACTCTAAAAAAAAGCTACAAGATTGTGTTTAGCTGAAACATCATGCACTAGTGATCAGTATGAGTTATAATTAGCCATCCTTCCTCAAAGTAGGAGCAGGTGCCAAGCTAATACAATTGAAATAATTTGTTTTTAGCATCATTATTGTTGGTGAAATAATGAGGTCACTACTAAGAAGGTTTCCCTCTAAAATGTTAAAGCATTATAACCTGAAGACTAAGACAAAGACAATGTGTTAAGGTCATTGAGGCCACTAGAGGTAAGAAATAGATTCTCCCCTAGAAGTGAAGATAATGTGGCCTAAATTTGTTTATTTACTTTATTATGTTTGGAATAGGAGCTAATGAAAATGGTTAAATCAATCTTCTCTTAGATATGGACTTGTTATGTTCTACAATTGGCAAATAAGTGGTGTGAGAAGTTCATGGAGGCCATTAGAGGGGACCTTAATAGTCCTCTCTTAGAGGTGAAAATGGTAAAATAAAAAGGGGAAACGAATCAACTTAATGAGATCATATTTTTTTTTTTTGAAATGGTCAAATCAATCCTTCCATGAAGCTAGAGAAGCTGTAACCTAGAGATGATGATGGGGTGGAGTAAGAAGCTTGTGAAAGTGTTTAAATTAGCCCTTATTTGGACATGAAGATAATATAACCTAAACACAATGATTTAGTGGAGTGAGAAGGTCATAAAGCACAATGTAGATGATCATGTAATCTTTCCATTAAGGTGAAAATTAAATTGCATAAAGGAGTAAATAGAGAAATGTGGGTGATAATAATGCTACGGAATCCAGTTGAATTAAATAACCCTTATAAAAAGATCATACTACGTGACCTACAAGTGGAAATGGAGCAAAAGTAAAAGTTCATCAAGGACCCTAAAGGTAGTTGGTTTAGTCCTCTCCTTTAGGTCTAGTTGAGACAACCTAAAGGCAACAACAGAGCAATATAGGAAAGTTATGGGACATTGACTGGTCAGATTGATGCTCTTGTGAGGTAAGGATGAAACTATCTAAATAAGATGCTAAAGAGCAACATAGGTTTTTAGTGGTGGTTCTATTAATCATCTATTAGGTTGATATGCATTGCATGAAGAAGGTGACATACAGAGTAATGCATAAAGGTTGTATAAGCCACTCAAGTTGGATTCATCAAATGTCCTTACATGTGGTAAGGGAATTGATATAGATGATATTATATTACAATCAAAATAGTCCATCTATTGAAATGAATGTGTTTTTGCAATCTATAGTCATCATAATAGTCCTTTTGAAAGAAGTGGGGACTAGGTAAATAAATTAAATCAATTAGGTAGTTAAAATGGTTCATCTTTTAAAAGGAGGGATAATTTAATCAACTTATACTTTGTTGACTGCTAAAGATATTAGGTATAATTATTTTAAAAAAAAGTTAATTGGACAGCCTAAAGTTGTAGACAACTGTAGAAGTTGGAATAGTCCCTCTTCTATTAATGAATGAAATTAAATAACATTGATTCAATAAAAGACCAAAGTTGATTATGATAATTCTTAGTTGGCCAAAAATCATATGAATAGATAGGATTCAACAAGTGACTGTAGATGGTTGGAGCATTCTCTCTCCTAATAAGAATAAAGAATATGGTGACTTGGAGTTAGTAGGTGATTAGAGATGATCAGCATTATCTTGCACTAGAAATGACTAATTTGGGTAACCTAGAGTAAGTGAGGAAGGCTAGATATATGAAATCGTATATTATTCTTGAATTGTTAGAAATAGTCCTATTAGGGTTGAGTAATAGTTATAATATAGGTCATTCTAGAACCAGGCAATCTAGTGCATAAACTAGCATCACGACTATGGTGGAGGCTTGGTGTCCTTCAAATACATCAGTGCTTGTGTTATGCCTAGTTAAAAAAACTAATTTTGCACCCTTTCTACCACCATGAAGTTTTAGAATAAATATTAATGCCTTGATCCTAAATGTAGTACAAAGCAAGTTGCGGGTCAAATCTAAGTTGAAGTACATAGTTATATATACATGTAATAGTTTTCTAACCAAAGTATTTTAGTTTTATAACTTTCATACAAAGAGTGAAATATCTAGTAAGTGAGAAAAAAATATTGATGTCAATCAATCACCTGCCCCTCATAAGCAACAAGTACTGCAGAGCTCAACCATTCTCGAAAGTCTTTGCCTTGTAATATGCTTCCAAGTATAGCCATCTGAAGGAAATATTAATTGCATATAATTAATGAAGAAAATTTAAATAAATTTCAATATTTATCTAATTAATTGAGAATAACTTGTATGAAATAGAACAATGAAAATAATATAATAGGCCCCACACATTATATCCATCTACTTCATTTAATTAGAATGAGCCAAACTACATAACAACTAGGTTATGAATGGGACCATTCACCAATGAAACTACTAAAGAGCAGCCACATTTGTACACAGGGCAAAATTCACAGAAATAGAATTTAAAATTAAATTTTAAGTGTATAAATTTCATATTATATAGTATTTTATCATATTTAAGGGGAGCATGTGGCACTTTTGATTCATCACTAGTGTGGATCCAAGCTCGAACGTTTGACCAACTTAGCTGGAGTGTAACCAGTGCCATGGATACGAGCCCCGGTCATACCTCATACGCCTATAATTCGAGGACCACACCGTACACTCCGGGGGAATCGAACCCCATACCAGAGGGGACTTAGAACTCACTAGCAGAT